GAAGCTGATTTTCGTGTTCTATTGGACAAACATAATTTGACCGTTGGAGACTCAGATGTTTTGTCTGACGTATGAGATTTCTTTTACTACATTCGATATTCACCATTCATTTCAGATTTTATCGAATCATTTACAATCTCTCGATGGTGCTAACATCAATTCGATGCTAAGTAGCGAAACTGCTGTCGGATGTCTGCTCACCTCACTCAATTCGGCTTTGGGAGAAGTAGATAATCTTACAGAAGGATTAAAGACATGTGATTCTATCTTTGTGGTATGCAACAGTTCAAAACCAGAGAAATTCATGTGTTAAAGGATGTTCGGAACAGTTTTGAACTCATGGAAGAGAAAGATTCACTCGCTATCGTTGAACGGAAAAACCGATACCGGTTGAGACAAGAACTCATGGTTTGCATCAGTTTCTAATGGAATTCAAGCAATTTTTAGAATTATGTGAGTGGATTGGACGCTGTTACAGATGCTCACATCAGAACATTAGAAGAATCAAGATTCGATGATCCGAAAAGGTTTTACATCGTCTATGAAAACAAAAATATATGGGTTTAAGTATCGCGAGCTGTGCTGAAGCTGCTCGTGCTGTTTCTCAATTTTGGAATGGCCACTTTGCAAGACCTCTCTTGAATATGAGTTCTTATAAAGAACGTAGTAGTTTAGTTGATATTACTGATCTTTTTGTTGATCGCCTGTTGTCCCATCTATCAGCCCTTTTCAATAATCTGGTAAGTATTTCAGCTCACTACTCGAAAAAAACGTTTTTTTCCAAGAATGATATTTCCATGACATCTGATTGGCATTCTCTCTGTATTCCCAAGCAATCTCAACGCTTTCATGCTTTATCTCCTTTGAGTGAACTGATTCTGTGGTTGAAACACAACAAGTAAGTTCAATTTCAAGTTTATAACTAACTTTATCCTTACAGGCCTGCAGCTTACAGTGTTGTCATGCAACGCTACGTAGATGCAACCAAGCAATTGTATAAAAAGTTATTTGATCAATTCTTTGAGCAATTGCATGTTGAAATTAACAAGCTAAGCTACAAGAGATCAGGTATATAGCCAAGGTTCTGCTAATGATCTGTTACGTTTTCAGAAAGCACAGCTAATTCAGCTAAATTGTCGGTTGCTAGTAGTATCAGCTTTCCAGATACTTCCAACGAATTTGAAGAAATTTCAAAGGTTCTCTCGGTTGACCCTCCTTATTCTAAATTTTTGTTTCAGTTAATCGAAACTGTTCTTGGGGAGTTAGGTCCTGTAGTTGACTGTGAACAAAAGTTTTGTTTACGTTTCTTCCACATAACAACGGATCTTTTGATGCAAGCTGAAGTAGTTTCTACAGGTTCAGGAGATAGTTCAACCTTAGGTACTAATATCAATTTTGATGATCAATAATATATGGTTTTCCAACAGGATCCGCAACGCGAAGTATCGAGAAAACGATAAATGAACAGATTCGAGCTATGATGGGACCAATTTTCGATTCTCTGAATGAACATCTCAAGAAATTTGCTGATGTCATTTGCAAACAAACACCAAGGTTTTTGATCTCTCACGCTATTGTTATCAAAAAATGATTTCCAGCAATGTATTGGTTCTTTTTGTCATTCTGTCTAAGAAAATATTGAGTCCTCAAGACTCAGGATCGTATTTTGCTGTAACATTCGGAACACTCGTAGTACTCGTCAAGAGGCAACTAGATTTCTACATGGTTTTTGAAATAAGAGATTATAGTGTAAATTTTCAATTATAGGAAAACGAACGTAGAGTGTACACGGATATAAAGCTAACAAAGAAAGTTCGAGTGGGAATCCTACCAAGTATTATGCGGTTTCAAAGTTTCGTCATCCATGCCGAGAGCATCTTTAAAGATTTAGATCGTCGTACTGACATTGAAAAATGGTTAGTGCTTGGAATAGTTATAGTTTTGATTCTATGACTGTAGGTACTCTTTGCTCTGTCGAAGTGTCATTGAGGGAATTCAGAAAGTTGCTTGGAATAGCAGCAACAAATCTCCACCAAATGTTGTTCTGTTTGAAAACTATCATCAGTTATACTGTAAGCATCAGCTATTGTTAAGGCTGATCTTCAATATTTTCTTTCAGTGAGCCTTTCTGAGCTAAGGCTTCCTTGCTTAGATGACATGAGAAAACTAGCTAAAAAAGAAAAAGAAGAACAGATTATGAATTATGTTCGCGACAGTCTCGGAAAACCATTGGAGAAAGTTCATGTAGAGAGATCTGAATTGTTTTGAAAATTTTAAAAAACTTCAGATTTTTTTCGAAAACATCACCAATGCTATTACTTTCAACGGTATTCGCCCAGAAGAAATATCATATCAACCGCAGTTCAGTCGTCCTGAATTGAAAAAAGTTCATTTTTAGCTTTGCTTGAATCTATTTATCATATTTGCAGGTAATCAGTCTCTATCCCGGTAAGGAAGTCAAAAAAGGCTTGGAGCTACTGTACAGAAAATTAGAGAAACATCTCGGTGAAAATTCCTCCTTGTTGCAAGTAGTATGGCGAGAGTTTCAAGTAAACATGGGGAGATATTCTATCGTTTAAACGCATCATTACAGGAGCAGTTCATCAAACAGTTGCAAGGATATCAGCTGATAATGACAGACTGCTATCCAGGAGCAAAAGTTGATTTGGATGTATCTATAGATGATATATTATCTTTCTTCTCATGTATTGCACAACAACACTGATAGATGTAATTTCTAAATAATTATTTATCATAATATTTTTTTTTGTGCAACATTCCCACTGATTTTTATACGTTGTACGGATATTGATAATGAAAAGAGCTTTTCTGTTGAATTGAAGGTGAGCGTTCATTGTAAAACGCTGAGCCGAGAAGATGAGAGTACATTGGCCAATGAATAGACTATTCATAGACAATTCTACATGAAACAGAAGTCATACATTCAGTCTAAATTGCGTTGTTTTCTAAGCGATCAAATCGAATATTCATTCATACATGACAA